GACCCCCCTAAACCCCTACGTCAATAACCCAAAACCCCGGGAGAACGCCCCAAAATCCCATGGGAACGACCCCAAAACCCCGGGAGAACGCCCCAAAATCCCATGGGAACGACCCCAAAACCCCGGGAGAACGCCCCAAAATCCCATGGGAACGACCCAAAACCCCGGGAGAACGCCCCAAAATCCCATGGGAACGACCCCAAAACCCCAGGAAAATGCCCCAAAATCCCATGGGAACGACCCCAAAAACGCTTCTGTTCCCCAAATCCCGGGAAAACGCCCCGAAATCTCAAAAATAAATATCCTTGAAAAAAACCACATTAAAAATCCACCGGGAACGGTGCCGGGAAGGTTCCGGAAGGGGCGGGAAGGTTCAGGGAGGTTGGGGAAGGTTCCAGAAGCTTCCCGAAAATTCAGGAAGGTTCTGGAAGGTTGGGGAAGGTTCTGGAAGGTTGGGGAAGGTTCTGGAAGGTTGGGGAAGGTTCTGGAAGGGGCGGGGCTGGGAAGGTTCAGGAAGGTTCAGGAAGGTTCAGGAAGGTTCTGGAAGGTTCAGAAGTTTGGGGAAGGTTCAGGAAGGTCGGGGAAGGTTCAGAAGTTTGGGGAAGGTTCAGGAAGGTTCCGGAAGGTTCAGAAGTTTGGGGAAGGTTCAGGAAGGTTCCAGAAGGTTCAGAAGTTTGGGGAAGCTGCAGGAAGGTTCCGGAAGGTTCCAGAAGGTTCTGGAAGGTTCCGGGAGGGGCGGGGCCGCACCTGCTCGGCGTAGAGGTCGTCGCGGTCGTGCATGTGCTGGTGCTTGCCCAGGTCGGTGGTGATCTCGCCCACCTCGGTGTAGAACTGCACGTCCGTGTGCCGCTTCTTGCCGAACATGATGGCGTTCTGGGGCCAGAGAGCGGCAATTCGGGCAAATCCCGGCAAATCCCGGCAAATCCCGGCAATTCGGGCAAATCCCGGCAAATCCCGGCAATTCGGGCAAATCCCGGCAATTCGGGCAAATCCCGGCAAATCCCGGCAATTCGGGCAAATCCCGGCAAATCCCGGCAAATCGGGCAAATCCCGGCAAATCCCGGCAATTCGGGCAAATCCCGGCAATTCGGGCAAATCCCGGCAAATCCCGGCAAATCGGGCAAATCCCGGCAATTCGGGCAAATCCCGGCAATTCGGGCAAATCCCGGCAAATCCCCCGATTTCCGGCCCGGCCCGCGCAGTCCGGACTCCAAATTCCAGGTTTTGGCCCAAAACGGCCGAGTTTTGACCCAAATCCACCCGATTTTGAGGCCAAGGCAGGGGTTTGAGGCAGAACCATCGAGTGTGGCCCAAATCCAGCGGGTTTCACCCAAACCCACAGGATTTCACCAAAACCGCGGGATTGTCACCCAAAACCACGGGATTGTCACCCAAAACCGCGGGATTGTCACCCAAAACCACGGGATTGTCACCCAAACCCACGGGATTGTCACCCAAAACTGCGGGATTGTCACCCAAAACCGCGGGATTGTCACCCAAAACCGCGGGATTGTCACCCAAAACCGCGGGATTGTCACCCAAAACCACGGGATTGTCACCCAAACCCATGGGATTGTCACCCAAAACCACGGGATTGTCACCCAAAACCACGGGATTGTCACCCAAAACCATGGGATTTCACCCAAAACCACGGGATTGTCACCCAAAACCGCGGGATTGTCACCCAAACCCACAGGATTGTCACCCAAACCCGCGGGATTTCACCAAAACGGGGGCGCTCGACCTGCAGCCCCAAAATCCCAGGATTTCAACCCAAAATCCCGGGGTTTCATCTCCAATTGATGGGTTTGACCCCACCCGGGAACTGCCCTAAAACCCAAAAGGTTCTGCCCCAAAATCTCGGGGTTTTGCCCCGAAACCGTGGGGATCTGGCCCAGAATTCCGGTTTTTGCCCAAATCCGGCGTTTTTTGCCCCGAAGGCCGGGCGCACCTTGAGGTGGAAGTGCAGCACGATGATCATCTCGCCGTCGCAGGGCTGGAACACGGCGTGCTTGATGTTGTTGTACAGGATGTCCACCTTGTCCCCCCGCACCGACGTGAAACGGAACCCTGGGGGGAGCAAAAACCCCCAAAAACGTGAAGATCGCCCCAAAATCCACGGAGACCCCAAAAAGCAGCAGGAAAACCATCAAGAAACGCCAAGGAACCTCGAAGGACCAACAAAAAGCACTGAAGGAACCCTTAAACCCTTGAGGAACTCCAGGAGAACCTCAGGAAACACAAAAGAACCCCAAAAACCCTTGAGAGACCCCAGGAAACCTTGAGAAACCCCCAAAAAAGGTTGAAGAACCCCAAAAAATGCTGAAGAACCCCAAAAACCCTTGAGGAACTCCAGGAGAACCTCAGAAAACACAGGAGAACCCAAAGAACACCCAAAAAACCTAAAAAAAACCCAAAATCCCTTGAGAGACTCCAGAAAACCTTGAGAAACCCCCAAAAAACGTTGAAGAACCCCAAAAATTCCTTGAGGAACTCCAGAAGAACCTCAGGAAACACAGAAGAACCCCAAGAACGCCCAAAAAAATCCAAAATAAACCCAAAATCCCTCGAGGGATCCCAAGAAACCTTGAGAAACCCCCAAAAAACGCTGAAGAACCCCAAAAATTCCTCGAGGAACTCCAGAAGAACCTTGAGGAACTCCCAAACATCTCAAAGAACTCCAAAAAAACCCCAAACCCGCCAGAGAACCCCCCCAGAACCTTGAGTCCCTCCCCGGAGCTCCACACCGAAGACACGATTTTGGGGTTTTTTTTGGGTTTTGGGGTTTTTGGGGCGTTTTGGGGTGATTTTGGGGGTTTTTGGGTCACCGTTGACGTGGGCCTCCAGCGCGCCCTGCATGCGCTTCTGGGCGATGTTGGGCCGGATGTAGAGGTCCTTCAGCTTGGGGTTGCTGCGGTTGAGGTTGATGACCAGCGAGTCCTGCTTGACGATGCCCTGTGGACACCAGAGCAGCGCTGACCGCTCGGTGACCGCTCGGTGACCACTCGGTGACCACTCGGTGACCACCTGGTGACCACTCAGTGACCACTCAGTAACCACTCATTGACCCCTGGGTGGTGACTGCTCATGGACCACTCAGTACCCTCCCGATGTCCACTTGATGACCGTTGGTTGGTGACCCAATGTCCACTGAACGGTCATTCACCATTTATTGACCACCCACTGACCATTCACTGACCACCCAATGACCATTCATTGGTCACCCAACATCCAATGACCATTCACTGACCACTCAACATCCACCCAATGACCACTCACTGACCATTTATTGACCACCCAGTGACCATTGGTCACTCAACAGCCATGGACCATTCATTGGTCACTCGATGTCCACCCAATGACAATTCACTGACCACCCAGTGACCACTCAATGTCCACCCATGGACCATTCATTGGTCACTCGAT